ACGTATATATTTGGTATCGTTTCATGAGAACAGTTATTCTTACTGCAGAAAGGAGGGTGGTGGGTGGTGTTTTGTTGGGGTTTTTTTTTAAATAATGAAGGAAAAAAAAAAAATCTTTATAAACTAATAAAAATGTGCCAAATTTCAAGAATATTTTTTCCCCACCTAGAGAGATTCGGAGCCGGGGGGAATAAGACACAAATAGCCCCAGGGGAGTTCGTGTGAGCTGGCACCTCCCCAGTTTGCTAATAAAAATATTCCCTGGGTGTTTTCTGAAAACAAAAAAAAAAGAAAAAAAAAAAACAAAACCAAAAAACCCTGTACTCCCCCCGTGGCTGAGCCCCCGGAGGCTCCGACGGGATTTCGGGGCACAAACCTCCTGCTCCAGGTGGGGAAACTGAGGCCGAGGGCAGCTGGCAGAGGACGCGGCAAAGGAGTCGGGAACAAAAGCGGCCCCGGTTGAGCGGCAAAGCCGAGTCCCCTGCGGCTGGGCATCTCTCCGCTGCACCCCTCAACCCCTCCGGCTCCCTCCCGACCCCCCAAACCGTTCTGCATGCATTTAGTTCCCATAATCTGATTACTAAAGAGATGAAGATTAATTCAATGTTTCCTACCAAGCAGGGGTTTCTTTGCCTTTTTTTTTTTTTTTTTTTTTGGTGGTGGTGGTTTATTGCTGTTGCTTGGAGGGAGGAGGGAAAAGCAAAAGCCCTTCCCTCGCCCCTTCCCTTCCCCAGACAGTTTGCCTCGTCTCTAGGACGGGTCGTCGCCTCCGCAGTGGAGATCACTGAGAAAAACGGTCGCGCGCCCCCGCTTCTGCCGTTATTTCATAGGCTTCAAAAAAAAAACCAAAAACACCCTAAAAAAAAAAAAATTTCTTTCTTTAAACTAACCTAAAATGAAAAGAAACATTCAAACAACTGAAAGGAAAAAAAAAATCATCCTGGAAAATAGAGGTGCTCTCCTGGCTTCTAAGGCTTTACAAGGCACTGCACTGTGCAGGCAGCACAGGCAGGAGAAATCCTGCCCTCCCGCCGGTGGTTCTGAGACAGGAGCGGTGCAGAGCTCCCAAGGGACCCAAATCCATTTGGCGCTGAAGTGGGGTTTTTATCTTCCCCCCCCAACCCCGCAATGGATCTCGTTACCAACGGGGGTTGGTAAGAATCCACTGGAATTTCTCTTAAAAAAATTAAAATAGGAAAAAAAAAAAAAAAAGAAAATGAAAATAAAATGCTCCAAAAGGCTAAACGTCGCTCTGGGAATATCCACCAGC